CAAGAGATTGAGTTACTACCAAGGACAAAACCGCCCGCCAAGAACGCCTATTGGATGGCTCCTCCCGAGTTAGCCGAACTGAGGAAACAACTCGATGAATTATTGAATAATGGATTCATCCGTCYAGCTAAGGCACCCTATGGGGCCCTAGTCCTTTTCCAGAAGAAGAAAGACAGAAGTCTCCGCCTATGCATTGATTATCAAGCACGGAACAAGCTCACAGTTCGCAACAAATACCCTTTGCCCATCATCACAGACCTTTTTGATAAACTTCATGGGGCAAAGTACTTATCTAAACTGGATCTGCGATCGGGGTACTATCAGGTGCGCATCGCAAAAGGAGATGAACCGAAGACGACCTGCGTCACTCGGTATGGGGCCTTTGAATTTCTTGTCATGCCCTTGGCCTTACGAACGCTCCCGCCACCTTCTGACATCCATCACAGAACTACGTTCATTTCTCGGACTAGCCAACTACTATAGACGATTCGTGGAAGGATTCTCGAAAAAGACAGGGCACTTGACTGAACTACTAAAGAAGAATCAAAAGTGGAACTGGACCCTAGAGTGTCAAGYTGCATTTGAGAGTTTGAAAAAGGCGATGATCGAGGGGCCGATGTTGGGGATTGCAGACGTTTCACAACTATTCGAAGTCGAGACAAATGCGTCAGACTTTGCCCTGGGAGGAGTGCTGCTCCAAGATGGTCACCCCATTGCGTATAAGAGTCGAAAGTTGAATGATCCTGAAAGGAGGTATGCTACTTCCGAGAAAGAGATGTTAGCAGTAGTCCACTGCTTGAGGGCCTGGAGGTAATATCTCCTAGGGGCCAAATTTGTTGTCAAGACCGACAACAGTTCAGTCTGTCACTCCTTCAATCAACCGAAGTTATCATGAACGCAAGCTAGATGGCAAGAATACCTTGCCGAATTTGATTTTCAGTTCGAGCATAAGCCAAGTCGAGCAAATCAAGCATCAGATGCCCTTAGCAGAAAGAGCGAACATGCRGCCCTGTGCATGTTAGCTCACCTAAAAGCGAGCAAGCCAAGAAGATCCATTCGTGGAGCCATCAAAGAGAACTTACAGAATGACCCAACTGCCCAAGCGATAATTCAGTTGGCCAACGAAGTGAAGACTCGACAGTTTTGGGTGGAGAACGACATCCTCCTTACCAAAGGTAACCGTTTGTACGTTCCCCGTTCTAGGAACCTAAGAAAGCTCCTACTTGGAGAATGTCACGACACGATGTGGGCAGGTCATGCTGGATGGCAGAGAACTTACGCCCTGCTAAAGAAAGGCTACTACTGGCCAAATCTGAGAGACGACGTGATGCAGTATACCAAAACGTGTCACATCTACCAACAGGACAAAGTCGAACGAAAYAAAATTGCAGGTTTGCTGGAACCCCTGCCAGTTCCATCAAGACYATGGGAAAGTGTGTCTCTCGACTTCATCACCCACCTACCAAAAGTCGGGGAGACAGAAGYGATCCTCGTGATAGTTGACCGGTTCTCTAAGTATGCTACCTTTATTCCAACCCCTAAGATGTGCTCGGCTGAAATGACTGCACAGTTATTTTTCAAGAATGTTGTGAAACTATGGGGTGTCCCTGAGAGCATTGTGAGCGACAGAGACGGACGYTTCACAGGGACATTCTGGATAGAACTTTTTCGCCTACTGGGATCAAATTTGAACATCTCTTCGAGCTATCACCCACAGACAGACGGACAGACAGAACGCTTCAACAGTATGCTAGAAGAGTACCTCCGCCATTTTATTGATGCYCGGCAAAARAACTGGATCCAGATGCTCGACGTGGCTCAGTTCTGTTTCAATTGTCAAAAGAGCACCACCACAGGAAGAACCCCTTTCGAAGTCGTGTGTGGGCGACAACCTGTGTTGCCTTATGTAGTCGACCATCCTTATGTGGAGAAGAGCCCTCAAGCTTACAACTTCACCAAGGAATGGCCGCAGTCCACCGAAGTGGCCCGGGCATATCTAAAGAAGGCGTCTAAACACATGAAAAAGTGGGCAGACAAAAAGCGAAGACCTTTAGAATTCCAGGCAGGAGATCAAGTCCTTGTGAAGCTGAGACCTGAACAACTTCGCTTTCGATGTAACAAAGACTAGCGCCTTGTGCAGAAATACGAAGGACCCGTCAACGTCCTTCAGAAGGTGGGCAAGACATCATACATGGTACAACTACCCTCGTGGATGAAAATTCATCCAGTGATCCACGTGAGAAACCTGAAGTCTTATCACCCAAACACCGTCGACCCTACGTGGAATGAGATAACCCGTCCAGCAGTCACGTTGACAAACAAGGTTGACAAAGAAGTTGAGTCAATCCTCGCCGAAAGGACACGCCGAGTAGGAAGACCACGAAGGGACGTACAAGAGTTCCTAGTCAAGTGGAACAGGCTCCCAGATGAAGAGATCAGTTGGGAGCGTACTGAAGACGTGAAGGCAGCTGCAACAGCGATTGAAGAGTTCGAGCAGCGACGGTTGACGGGGACGTCAACCATTTAAGTGGGGGAGAATGTCATGGTCATGCTCGTCCAGGGCTTGTTACCTGTGGCYGCATGCCCATAACAACCTCTTTCCACATACTTTTATGCCATGTATTTAGTTTTGATTGTTATTTTCTTTTCCTTGTACTTTTGGTGGCGAGTGACTCCTCGCCACTTTCCATGTTCATGTCTGTCATAGCAAATATGCCTTAGAATGTACTATAGGGGTACACCTAGTCATCCTCYCTGCATTGCGTTGTATTCTTATCTTGCCGTTAATCTATTCTCTTGCATTCAAGCTTATAATAACTTTCCAAAATGCTTTCAAACGTTTTCCAAAACCTTTTTCTCTAACCC